GGGGTTGAAAGTAAGAAAATGTATGTAAATTCCATTCGTTGAAATTATAAATTTCCCTTGAGGATTTCCATTTTATCGATAGTGATCTCATTTTGTGTTCATTAATATGAACTGACCTATTTAGTGTATTAATGTTTTATCATCAATGTCTTCATCTTTGACAAAATTACACGGTCACCCGGTATTGATTTTATTTTTTTTTAAATAATTTTAATTATTTTTTTTTACAAAATTGTAGCTCATTATCAAACAAAAACCTTGCAAATAAATCGAAACTTGAAAGAATGAAAAAAATCAAGAAAGTTTCATAACATTTTCACAATTTTGTTCAGAATTTGTAGACATGTTTTGGGTTAACATTTTTGTAGCCCATTCATTCTAGTATTATAAGGTGCAAGTTTGAAGTGTCTAAAAAATACCATTGATTATTTGAATTTTTCTGTTTGCGGTGTTGCGCACTAGGAAATCTAATTAAAAAGCTCGAAATTTTTACGAAAGTGTGTTGGTTTTTTAATGTTGCAAAAAGATTGAACCTTGGTACGGCTTTTTTTAAGTATAAACTGTATTTTTATAAAAAAAAAATACACAATATTAAGATAAATGGTCAAATCTTGTCAACATGTGAGTATAGTAAAGTTTTGATAAGCACTTGAAATGCTATTAAAATGTCAAAACTTATTACCGAATCCAAACAGATATCTCTTTTATCCATTAATAATAACATTGTTGTTAAGGTTGTGCTAGCGCTTTTACGAAAATGCTTGTTGACGGCAATAAAATCAATAAAAGCGCGATCACATCCTCACCGCATGAGTGTTCGACACCAACTGACGGTATGCAGTTTTATAGTCGATTCAATTTTAGTATTATAAAGTGAAAGTGCATCTACGAATTCATGTTGACTTTTAATATTTTTTTGCATTTTCTTTATACAAATGGGATGTACAAAAATTTCAGTATGGAAGAAAAAGTGCAACACCTTCAACGGAAAAAGTTCTCAAAAATCTACGCGAATTGAATGTACTATCCCGATCATTTAAACATCTCGGACTCGCCCACCACTAAAAGTGAAATCTAAAGTATATGTTAAATGATATTTAATATTTGCTTTAGAGATGAAATTTCGACAAATTTGTTTAAACAAAAATGTTAAGCGCATATGCAGAATGTGGAAGCGAGATTCTTCTGCTTGCGTTTCTATGTTTATATCATTTATCAGTTTAACCACATACGATTAAATGTAAAAAAAATATTTTTAATTGCGGATCCGAAAGAAATATTTATTAGTTGCATTGAGTTACGCAAAAATAGTGCCGAAAATCAATCGATTGTGCTGAAGGTGCCGGCTGCTTCCGAAAGGGCCGAAAATGGCACAATGCACACTCATTTTTCATCACTGTCACAATACAATCTCACTATTCTGTTGACTTCGTTTTCCCCTTCCGATAACTTTTTGCTTCCGCGCTTGCCCAGCACCTCTGTGCAAAGCTTTGCACGCGCAGTTGCCCGCGACACATATGTGCTGATTTGGGCATCCCTAACTTACGAGAAAAATTGTCGCGTACGTTATTGTTTTTTTTAATATAAAACTAGCCAGAGATAATTTCTCTTAAAATATGAAAGTATTGTAAAGATACATTATTTAGCTTAGTTTAGGAATATTTAAAGAAAAGAAAAACTCCCATGATTCGCAGACTTTCGCATATATGCGTGTTTCCATGAAAATGTAAACCGAAAATGCTAGCAAATGAATTCAAACGGCGTTATAACTATAAATTTCGTATTCAGATGGCGGAAAAAGGTTTTGAAAACGCGGAACGGTGGAGAGAACTGAAAAAATTTAATTTAGTATGTGTTACTAGTAAAAATATTGTATGGGGGAAAAATCTGTCGCGTACGTTATGTCGCGTACGTTATTAGAATTTTTTTAAATAAAAACTAACCAGAGATAATTTCTATCAAAAAATGGAAGGATTGTAAAGGTACATTATTTAGCTTAGTTTAGGAATTTTTAAAGAAAAGAAAAACTTTCATGATTCGCAGACTTTCGCATATATGTATATGTGCCTTAAAACCACTTCTTTTTTTGTCGCGTACGTTATCACCTGGTTTTGAGCGGATATTTTTCACACCAAAGTTTCGAGGCTGCTTATTTTTTTCTCAAACATAGTACCCTTTGGTTGCAACATAACCGTAATCTTTTTTTTTCAGTAACTTCTATTTTTGATAGATTTACGTTATTCTATAAGCGTACGAATTTCGCGTACGGCTGTATGGAAACACCCATATACTAAAACGTATAAAGGCTGGCCAAATGGCAGCTTTTCTTCTCTTGCTTTAAGCGCCTTAAAATTTGAAATAGGCAAATGTTTTATTTGTTTTGTAGGCTTTTGACAAAGAGGTATGTTCCTTTCAAAATTTGCTTACTTAATTTAAAAAGTCACAGAAAATGCAGGTAATTCGAAATGAAATAAAAATGATTCATTGTTTCCATATTAATATTTAACATATCGTTATCTTATAGTAAAAAGTTGCAAAACCCAGTTTTACAAATTTTACACGAGAGGAAAAAAATTCTTATAGTTCTTTTCTTCAAGTAAATCGCTTTTTTAAGTTATAGTTCTTTATGGTAAATGTAGATATAGATATGTATGTATCATTGTTATCATTTCTTTTAAATACAAACATTATTTCGCATTAATTTAAAAATAAATTGAAAGTTTTTGATACATTTTTTAGAGTTTTCTACGAAATAATTATTAACGTTAATGGAACAGACATTGATTTTTCAACCAGACAGCTGGCTACTTTGACAGCGTTCCAAGCCACCATTCGGCCAAGAAAGTTTTTATAGTAAATCAAAGCAAATTGAAGTCAGCAAGGCGCGCAAAGCAAGCCTGCATTGGGCCAGCGCCTTAACATACATATGTATAAGCGCCAATCTATTATTATTAAGGCGCTGGCCCAATGCAGGCTTGCTTTGCACGCCTTGCTTACTTTAATTTGCTTTGATTAACGTCAAAAACTCGTCTGTCCAAATGGCGGCTTGGAACGCTGTCAAAGCAACCAGCTGTGTAGTTAAAAAGTCAAGGTCTGTTTCCTTACACTAAGAATAATTTTGCCATAAAATTCCAGAAGATTAAAAAAAAGAAATAAACAACAAACTTTTCAGCTTTATTTTTAAATGAATGTGAATTAATTTTTGCATTTCAAAGGAATGATAATAATTATACATTTATATAAACATATATGTGCATTTATTAGAAACAAAAAACTAAAAAAAAATCGATTTTTCAAGAGACGACTTACCTGTAGTTTGACATCATAAATATCGATAGCTTTGTGTGAAAAGTTGATAAGTCTACATTTTATGAAGCCTCAAATTTTGACATAGAAAGTAAGAGAAATTAAGGACTAAGATACTTGTTTTATTTCTTCTCGTTTATATTCAATGAAAGATAAATTTTATAAGTCCAAAAGTGGCCCCGAATATGCAATAAGGCCAAAATAATACGAATTTTTTTAACAGAGATCGAATCCTTCTGATTTGTATGGAGTTTTGCTTTGCTTTAAATACGCAAAATGTTGTATTCAAAGTTCCTGTAAAATTTGTAAAATTGCACTTAGCAACTTTTGACTTTAAGCCAGCGACATGTTAAATATAAATATGGAAACATAGATTACTTTTTATTAAACTTTGAATTACTAATATTATACATATATTTTTTCCAATTACGTATCACAATTTTTGTACATAAAGGTGTGCAGTAGTTTGTTTGAATTGATTTAGAACGGGAACATATCTTTTTGTCAAAAGCCTACGAAACGATTTCAAATAAAACATTTGCCTATTTGAAACTTTGAGGCGCTTAAAGCAAGTGAAGCAAGGCTGTCATTTGGCCACCCTTCATACGTTTTAGTATATTCCAAATAACTTTTGTCAGTTTTCAAAGCTAAGCAAGCAAAGCAAGCCTGCATTGGGCCAGCGCCTTTATTACTGCTAACTTTTAATTGTTTTCAAAGCCAGGCAGTGCTCAACTGAAGAAATTCTTGTGTACAAAACGAAAAAAAAACAGAGAAAAACATTATATGTGACCTGGTCTACGGAAAGGGGGCTTAGGTGTCAAAAAATCAATTTTCACTTTTTGGTTGATTCGGATGGAAGATGAGATGCTTTTTCACGTGGTGAAAAGCAGAAAATCCTAACTTGCTTAGAAGTGTACTAAAAATGTAGAGAAAGAAGAGTAAAAATACGACAAAATATAATTTATTGGTAATGAACAAAATACATTGAATTATAAGCTATAAAGACATGATTATACACTAGAAAAACGTATTATGGGCCAAAAATAATAATGCTGAGTAGTTTATGTATTTTTCTTTGTTGTCGTTTTCCTTGAGATCTTTTTACGTGTTGATCCTGAGGAAGATGGACCTGGTTCCTCGTCTGGTTTGAGAACATCTTCACTAGTTTTTGCCTTCCGTTTCTTCGATGGCAAATCTTTCGGCAATGAGCCACAATATCTACTTTAGATATATCCGAAACTAAGCTGCGAAGATTGTGATAGATGTACCACTGACGTTCCAAAGATAAACCGGCTGGTTGTATAACTTTCGGCATTTCAGGATCGATAGGTTTTAACAGAAGCTTAAAGGACTGCACTTCTTCACTGTCTGCGAATTTCTTTGTTTTTACACAATCTGTAGAGATTATGAAATGATGGAATTGCGTTATTCCAACAAGCGACTTGTACAGTGGTTTAAAATAGCTGTCCCATTCATACCAGACGACTTTTTCAGCCGATACAGCTTTATTATAACCCCCAGGTGATGATGCCTCGACACACTGCAGTAAATCTGCATACGTGACGATGTTACTGACGGCATACTTACTTTTGAAAATACCGAAGTAACGATCAGGCGCGAACTTAGTGTACCCGGTAAGTAGAAAATTGAATAAAATAGTTTTGTTAAGACCCCGAGCCAAACACCATTGCAGATATGATAGTACAGTGTTATTCTTATTCTGCCCAACACAATTGTCACAGAAAAGAACGAGTGTTTCAATGTCTTTATAGTAGGTTTGCAGGTGATAATGCAGGATGCTCACAACACAGTTAGGTCCTTTACCAACGTCATCTTTTTCGTCTATCATGTAATTGTACTGTAAAAAAAAAAATATAAGTAAGATCCTGTAAAGGCGAGCAATTTGAGTTCCTATGATTCAGTTTGAAATTCTAACCTGAACTTTTTGTTTTTCGTCTGTAATTCCGAAGACTCCGCACTTCTTGGTTGCTTTGAAGTATGCTGTACCAGGTTGTTGTGGACTGACAGGGTAGTGAACGGTTTGGGCAAAATCAAATGACAGAACGACTGCTGTAGGGTCAGTATTTCTACACCAACTTTGATAATATTCTCGTTGATTTCGGGCTCGGTGGAGGTGATCAAGAAATTAATTAAGCTTCTGTGCGCGTTCAATGTCAGTAACACCTTTGGCTTGCGCAATCGATATTGTGTTTCCTATTAAAAGAAAAAATACTGAATTTAATCTCAACGTTTGATACAACTATAAAATGAGAAAATAATGAGCTACTTACCACGGCAGACATCGCAGAGATCATCCGCTGGTTTCATAACTGTAACATGGGGTATGTATTTGGACCATATCCGTCGAAAACAGCAATTACTCATATTCAATTCGTCATCACTGAGTGTTTAAATGTATTTTCGATAAATTGAGGACTTCGTCTCGCTGGATGGCAGTTTCATTATCCGAAAATCCTTAAATTTTGGGAGTCGTCCGGGCAGTGGAAGAGCCATTAAATCGGCTATAGACTCGATGAATTTAACAGCTTTTTCGATGTCAGCCGGTTTAAATGACTTTGGATGTGTACTCGGTTTATTTGCCAGTCCGTGTTGGCGCACTGTTACACCCTGTGCGTGAAAATGACGTACTAAATTTTCGTAACGCTTCGTCGTACAGGCATGTACAAAAAGGAAAAACGAACGACAAACAGGTACTCTGTAGAAGGTAAATTGAATTCTATGCCTCATAACTTCTGTATCCTGTCTCTGTCCATATATCTTCCGCCCAGCAAGCTTTGCGTATACACTTTCTAGCTTTTCGTTACTCATAATTCCAGCTTCGATGTTACTTAGTATCACTAAATCAAGTTCATTTTTCGACATCTCTAAACAATAGTTCCGCGTACTCTCGATCATTTCCCGTGGTATCAGTGTATGGCATTCATTATTACAACAATCTTTTGACAGAAATTTTGTTACCAGCTCCTCCTCCTTTACATCAACAACATACAGGTCCATCTTAACAAAAGTTTGTTCGGTATCATCTTCTGCCTGAGATACACATACTTCGTCTTCATCATCATCGCTCTCTTCATAGTTTTCATCATCGTTTTCATCATCCTTTTCATGGAAATATTGTCCGTATACGGCACTGAACTCCTCATCAACACTCATGTTTCATTTCATGCGAAATGCGAAGACGATAATCAACAGAAACAGTCAACGTCACTTCTTCAGTGTTACTTTTTTAAATGTTCCACACTAGCAACTTACACGATGAACTATAATAATATTCCGACCAACAACAACACTTACTGGACCAACAACAACACTTACTGGACGAACAACAACACTTACTGGACGTCCGGCGCGGAGAACAATTAACGAGATAATGAGAAACTAACGAAACGAGTTGCTTACTTTTAACAGCTTTTTCACAGAAAACTAGTTTTCGCACGTAAGCTCCCTTTTCGTAGACCAGGTCACATATTGTCAAAATAAGGTCAAGGTACATGATTCAATAATGGGTAGGTTCATAAGGCGCAACCGTTGCTAAAAAAATCAGTGATCATAATGCGCCTTCTGAACGGCTTGATACATTAGCTGTCAAATTCAAAACACACAACATGTTGTCTCAAATGATCATAAAAATATTACGATCATCTAACACGCAACTGTTCAGTTGATCAGAAGTGCAAAACAACGCGTTCAGAAGGTGCAATCGCAACAGTTACTGAGCTTTTGCGCCTTCTGAACGTGCCCAATGAAAGGTTTTTTAAGTAGCTTTTTTTTTTAATTTTACTCTCCCACCCACAGGGTTGGTTTTCGGAAGCAGGAAAAGAGGGTAAGAATTCAATCACATTTCCTAAAATGGTAGCTAAATTCCGCAAAAAGGTGAGGATAATAGTGCATAGTGGTAGTTTAAAACAAAAACGAATTTTATTTAATTATTTAATTTAAACCAGCTTGTTTACATCAAATATAACCCCTGATTGTTATTAGAAATAAATATTTCAATGAATGTATGCATCTATATACGAAAGTTGCGTACGACAGGCGGCGCATAACTCGAGAATGGGTGGTCCACTTTGAGCTACTTTTTTGGTGTGTTTGTTTGCCTTGTATATTCTTTGCGGTACCATTTACAAAAGATGGATATGAAGAAGCTATATGTTTCTGGAAAAATTATGGAATATTGATTAAAAAACGCCAAATAAAAACATTTGGAGCTTACGGCTCTTTCGCGGTTATGGCTCGATTGCTTCGAATGTGGTAATTCGAATTCTTTGATGTCAAACTTTTAATGTTCTGGAGAGAATATTCAATATTGGTTTACATAGCCGCAATTGGCGATTCGTGCCGGATGAACTCAGCAAGAATAAAAAGAACATGCAGCTACTGAACGACTGAGACAGAGAACGTGATCTACATCGTCAAATGAGAAGTGCCGTAAGTGTGCAATTACATCGTACCATTGACTAAACCGAGCTGTCGTGTGATGATGGGGCCCATGGATGTGGTTTAATAATAATAATAGATTGGCGCTTACACATATGTTAGTGTTTGGCCGAGCTTCACCTCCGATTTGTGGCGTGCGCCTTGATGTTGTCACACAAAGCGGAGGGACCTATAGTTTTACGCCGACTCCAAACGGCGATTGTATTTTTATGAGAAGCTGTTTTTCATGGCAGAAATACACTCGGATCTAAAACCTTCACTACTTCGCTGTCGGGATGCTTTCGTGCATATATGCGCCCACGAATTGAAAATGCACTCGCCAAACGTTTCTGTCTCTTCATTTGAGTTGCGTATTGCATTAGGTCATGTTCGCTTTCGCTAATAGGGCATTCGCACGAGGCAATTTTACAGGCAACAAAAGTTGAATGCGAAGTTGAAAGTGAAAAAGTTGCCATCCCTATTCAGACGAGGCGATTTTCGATTCAACACGAATTGTTATTTACATTATTGAAAATGAATTTAAATCGCAAAATTTTATCAATTGGCGTAAATTTGGTTAGCGAAGCTGAAAGATAAAATAAAAGTAAAAAAGAAAAAAAGTATGTATACAGAATGTAAACAAACACAGGGTTGCAAGGAAAAAAAGTTGACGATGCGATTTTTGCTTTCAACTAAAAGTTGCCTGAAAAATCGCCTCGTGCGAATACCTTATAAGCATTTATGGATGAAGAACTTTCCATCAGCATTGACGCCAATATCGCGGAGAATTAAAGTCTTGCAGCTAAATTTAAAAAAGCCAGTTCATTTTAAAGATGATTGGAGAGGGGTTGCTGCTGTTATTGTTTATATGCATTCGAAAAGATGAGCGGATGGTAAGAGGGGCAAGGTTAATTTTCGCACATAGCTTAGTAAACAACGAAGGTAAATTCTCGTCAGCTACCTGCGGTACACCATATACAATTACATCAGCTGACACGAACGCATTCTCCAGTTCATTGACTTGCTGACATAATGTGAGAACGTTTTTGTTTTGTTCCGCATTTTCATCGCGCAGTTTTTCCAGCGCACTCAATCTTTCATCAATAGTTTTTATTGCTGATTTGAGGTTACTTAGCTCAGCGGAGACTTTACCAATTTTTTGCATTACGCGCTCTTCACTCTCGTTCAATTTTTGGATAATGCTCTAAATAAATGTTTCCAATTTATTTTCCATTCTCGCAAACAAACGAACCGTTGTTGGGCTGCTTGCTCCTTTGGATTGTTTTTGTACTGGAGTTTGTTGTGGAGAGGAGACATTGCGGGCGCTTTTCCTTTGTTGTGACATATTTGCTCACTGAATAAACTTGTATTGGCTCATAAATGTTAAAATAAAACCAATCGAATACAAATAATGCAAATAACGATCAGCTGCCGCAGCGAGTGTTTTTACAGAAAGTTCGCAAAGATTTATCGCTTTAAAAAGCCGGTAATTACTTTGAAAAGCGTAATTTAAAGCAGCACCACAAAAACACGTCTACTCACAACGACATTACTTTGCTTAATTCAAAAAAAAAATTATTCGAATGACGGATAAATTATTTTATTCGTTATTCGAATAATTATTAACTTCTTTAATTATTCGAATAACGAATAAAATAATAATAAAAAGAGTAATTTATGCCCTGCAAAAAATGG